GGAGGAGGAGGAGGAGGAGGAGGAGGAGGAGGAGGAGAAAGAGGAGGAGAAAGAGGAGAAAGAGGAGAAAGAGGAGAAAGAGGAGGAGAAAGAGGAGGAGAAAGAGGAGGAGAAAGAGGAGGAGGCAGAGTACTTGGGCATGGTAGCTCTGCTGGCTCACAGGCCTTGGAGAACAGGGGACTGGTACATTTCTTCTCACACTGTTTGATTATGGGACCACACGCAGGTATGCCCTTAAGATTTGGGGACTCTCAGTCTTTTTCAAAAATGTAAACATTTTGGCACACTTTCTTCAAATGTTCACTGAAGAAGTGACAGCCTTTGGGTATATCTCGGGACAACACTCATTCCCCAACCTACTCTCATGTCCTGGAAAAAAAAAATTGCCAAATGGCTTGTATTTGTTTCAGAGATTGCTTGCTTGCTTGCTTGTGGGGAATCTCATGACATCCCTTTGTGATAACTGGCAGGGTTCTGGTGTTGCAAAACACGACTCGGGCGCAATCAGCCTGATGAATAGCGAGAAGCTGCAGCCAAATGCAGCCTGCACCACCTTGGCATGCCAGGACGGGGGCAGGGGCCACAGAGGGGAGATGTGCAGGCTGCGTGGGTTGGTTACTCCATGGGACAGGGAAAGCGTTTGCTCGAGAGCCCCTGTCAGTCCTGCTCATGGGTGAGTAAGCTGCTGGGTCCCTGGGAGCCCAGCTGGTCCCTTTTCCTCAGGGATAATTTTAGGTTCTCTTGTCCTCTTCCAACCTTTCTGACTCCCAGCCCCTGGTTCAGCCTCCCAGAGGGATTGCCTAGACCAGTGTCTGACTATACAGTGTGCTTTTGAAACGTGGAGCTGTTCAAAAGAACATGCCACGGGGTCACCCTGAAGGCATTTTCCACTGTACTTTTTTTTTTTCCTCTCTTGCCCCATTGTTTCAGGGGAGTAAGCAAGACGGCTCAAGGGTCCACTCCTGACCGGCTTCCGGCATCTCTGGGATTACACGTGCAGGCCATCACTCTAGGCGTCTTTATTTATGGGACCTGGGAATCATGGAACTCAGATCCTTCTGTTCGCAAGGCAAGTACTTCAGTGACGGAGCCATCTCCCTAACCTCCAGAAGCTCATTTCTAAGCCTCTCATCCCCACCCCCAGTTTGGAAGGAACCGTTTTAAAAACTGGGAGCCTGAAAGGCGGAGTTAGGCCCTGTAAGTCTGAGTGAGGGGAGAGAGAGCGAGGCGCTGGTCTTCTGGTAAGGGAAAGTACTGTATAAAAGGCTTCAGCGGTGTTCGATACCAAGCTTATCCTTCTACACACTCCAGCAACGCAGCATAAGGGTCTAGGAGGATGGCTCAGTAGGTTGAGAGCACTTGTTCTGCAGGTCTGAGGGCCTGAGTTCAAATCCCAGCACCCAAGGAGAGAGTTGAGCATGGCTGCACATGCCCATAACCAAGCCCTGGGAGGCAGAGACAGACGGAATTCCAAAAGCTCAAGAGCAGCCGTCCTGGCCAAATAAAAGCTTTCTGGCCCAGTCAGAGATGCTGCCTCAAGGTAATAAAGTGGAAAAACGACATCAACCACTTGCTATTGTTTCAGATACAAGACAAGGGTTGGGAGTAGTGGCACACAGAATTGTAATCCCAGCACTGGGTGGGGGGCAGGGAGGGGGCTAGAGGCAGAAGGATCTAGAGGTCTGGACCATTCTGAGGAACATATGGAGAGTCTATCTCAAACAATAAAATACCTTAGGGTTGTTGTATTGGGAGAGAGTAATCTTCCTTGTTGGGCAAAGGGTAGGGTGGAAGGCCTTTCCAGGGTTGCTGCAGGCCTTGCCAGGAAAGAGCTGCCGAGCTCCAGGAAATGGGTGCTGAGGGAGTGCCATGGCAGGCTGTCCCTCTCTACCCTCCAATTCCCACCAGAGGCCTCTCCTCTCCTGACTATTGGACACTGCGCCTTTAAAAGCAGCCACTCCTCCTGGGATCTAGGGTGTGGGGGGTGAGATGGGGGAAAGCTGACAGACTTACCCCAACAACTTAGGGAAGATGGCCCAGGCAGGAGGAGTCGCTCCCAAATCCTATTGTCCCCTTCCCTGAGCCAGGGGGTCAGGGAGAACTTTCCCACCCCAGGCGTGACAGGAGATGGCTCCGTGGCCTCACAAGAACGGCTCTCTGGCTTTGTGGTCAGATGTCCCCACGTTGGACCCCAGTGCAGCCAACACGAGTGGGTTGCCAGGGGTGCCATGGGCAGCGGCATTGGCTGGGACGTTGTTGGCGCTGGCCACGGTGGGAGGCAACCTGCTGGTAATCGTAGCCATAGCCCGCACGCCGAGACTCCAGACCATAACCAACGTGTTCGTGACTTCGCTGGCCACAGCTGACTTGGTAGTGGGACTCCTCGTAATGCCACCGGGGGCCACTTTGGCGCTGACTGGCCATTGGCCCTTGGGTGCAACTGGATGCGAGCTGTGGACGTCGGTGGACGTGCTCTGTGTAACCGCCAGCATCGAGACCCTGTGCGCCCTGGCTGTGGACCGCTACCTAGCTGTCACCAACCCTCTGCGTTATGGCACACTGGTTACCAAGCGCCGAGCTCGGGCGGCGGTGGTCCTGGTGTGGATCGTGTCCGCTACCGTGTCCTTTGCGCCCATCATGAGCCAGTGGTGGCGCGTAGGGGCTGACGCCGAGGCGCAGGAGTGCCACTCCGATCCGCGCTGCTGTTCCTTCGTCTCCAACATGCCCTACGCGCTGCTCTCCTCCTCCGTCTCCTTCTACCTTCCGCTCCTGGTGATGCTCTTTGTCTACGCGCGAGTGTTCGTCGTGGCTAAGCGTCAACGGCGTTTACTGCGCCGGGAGCTGGGCCGCTTCCCGCCCGAGGAGTCTCCGCGGGCTCCGTCGCGCTCTCCGTCCCCTGTCACAGGCGGGACAGGCTTGGCTCCGGATGGAGTGCCCTCCTGCGGCCGGCGGCCGGCGCGGCTCCTGCCGCTCCGGGAACATCGCGCCCTGCGCACCTTAGGTCTCATTATGGGCATCTTCACTCTGTGCTGGCTGCCCTTCTTCCTGGCTAACGTACTGCGCGCCCTCGCCGGGCCCTCTTTGGTTCCCAACGGGGTTTTCATCGCCCTCAACTGGCTGGGCTATGCCAACTCCGCCTTCAACCCGCTCATCTACTGCCGCAGCCCGGACTTCCGCGACGCTTTCCGCCGTCTTCTGTGCGGTTGCGGTGGCCGCGGGCGGGAGGAGCCACGCGCTGTCGCCTTCCCAGCCAGTCCCGCGGGAGCCACAGCGGCTCGGGCCAGCTCAGCCGAGTTCAGGCAGAGCCGGCCGCTCAACAGGTAGGGGACACAGGCAGAGAACCGGGGGCTCCGGGTGGGGACACCTTCTTGTCTCCTCCGCTTTTGAGTTTGGGGCTTGGGGGCAGGGGTGGACAGGGCCTTTTGCCTAGAAAGGACAGAAAGGAAGTAGGAACTAAAATGGAATTTAGGGTCTTTCCCTTTCTTGGATGCAACCCCTGGGATGGAGGCAAAGGGGCGGGCGGACTGTTTGCTCACCCGACGACCAGGTGAGCCCCACAAACAATTGCTGCCCTGCCTGCAGGTTTCTAAATTCCCTGGTCGCCTCGAGTTTGGGTTTTCTAGTTCCATTCTTCAGCTAGGGCTACCGTAGATAACAGTGGAGTTCCCAACCCCTCGCCCTCAGCTCCAATTTCCCTCAAAGATTTGGTGGCTATGGAGGTGAGCGGCCATTTCCCCCATGAAGGACCACCGAGATCCCTCAGGGAATCTGTGAGTTGAAATTTCAACTGCATCCCTCCCTCAGGGACTGGGTCGGAGCTGTAGGGTGGGACTGGGAAGGCGGGAGCTGAATGGTCCTTATACCTTTGGAAAGTAAAAGTGCTTTTCAGGGTTCCTGAGACACTGCCCCCTACCTGCTAGTGCTTGGCTCCCGCCTCCTTGACCAGTTACCCTCAGAAATATTATCTCCATTTTGCAGGACTTCTGGGAGTTTTCGTGTTTCTTTTGGGGGGAGGGGTTGTTTTGTTTTGCTTTTGCCAGAAAAACAAGAAACAACTCCATGGATGCAGAATTTTGATGACGCCCCTAATTTCTACTCAGAGTGAGTCCCCAGGCTGAAAAACCTCATCTCTCGGGAGCCTGCTAACTCGACTGCAAGATGCCCTGCGAAGGGGAACTCTTACCGAGTGGGTTTCACCAGCAGACCCACGGGGAACTCTTGCCGAGTGGGTTTCACCGGAAGACCCACCTGGAACTTCGCTACTACCTCAGCAGCTGGGATGTCAGGCCACCTGTGCCCAGTTGCCCCGTGAGCAGCCCTACAGCTTTGAAGGGATGGTCCATCACTCTGCTTGTGTGTGTGCTGTGTGCTTAGGGCAAAGAAAGCACCCCTACCTACCTCCCTTCTTTCTGCTTTCCTGACCCCAGTGAGCGGCTTGTGATTCTGTGTCTCTGGCTAGTTTGAGGGCAGGAAGCCAGGGAAAAAAACAACCAAGTTTGAGGTTTTGCCCCATGGCTCTCTCAAACCATATCTTGCTTTCCGCACAAACCAGCTCTGATCTACCTCATAGTTGGAACGTCAAGGAGGGATTCCAGGGTTCATAGAAGGTGAACCGCTGGAATGGCTCTCTTTTCCACTTAAAATCAAATTAATAAATATTACTGAATGTAACTTGTCCTTTTGTTCTCTTTTCTCTCCCATTTGTTTTCTTTTCAAAATCCCTTTGCTGGCTTCCCCGGTTCAGAGCTGCCTTTTGTCAGGGGCAGTAAATTCGGAGTAATCCTTGCCCCTTTCTTCCTAATCCTCATCAGACAAAACTGAAAAGGCTGTCTGTGTAAATGGGACGGGCGAGTCTTTGATTCCCTTTCCTCCCTGCCCTTCCTGCAACTCTGGGGATCTAGTTGCGAGAAGCAATGTAGTCACACCCATGACTGGGCTGTCTTTCTAGAACGAGGGTACTTGCTGTGCCCAGGACCAAGAGTAGGACTCTCCCATACCACAAACCAGAGTGGGTTAATAAGGTCTCATTGACATCAGCAAACACTTTGGTTCTGTGCTTTGTGTGTCTGCCTATCTGGAAGCACAGGGCACTGGTTTAGGAAGGGGTAATACGTCTTGTGTTATATTAATAGATGTGTGTACACATACACGCGTACATGTTTCTGTACTTCTGTACTGCCTATCTTTCCACTTCCTTCCTGAGTTTGAAGAAATTATTACCCTCGAGAAGCAAAACTGGAGTTACGACTGTCTGTTCATATGACTTTTTTCCTCATTTCCGGGTTTTTTTTTTTTCATTCTTCTCTGATATGTTTCTCGCATGGAAGCCACTGGAGTGTTACATGGGCTCCTCTTTAACTCCAGGAGCAGAGATCATGAGCAGGCTGAGTGAGAGTCAGGAAGGCCGGTTAATCAGCTAACGTTTAGCACACCCGTGGCAGAGCGTGCTGTGCGTTGGCTGGGCTTGGGGGCCCCAGAGGTACAGAACCGCACGTCGCCCACGCGACAATGCTACATGCATTTCCACATATGGGTGTTCCCTGCGAACTGGACCTAGTCTATGCAGCTCCCTTTTCTCCTAGAGCTCAGGTTTTATTTCTCAGGATGTTTGCATACCAAAGATGACTTTCTGCTTTCCAAACCAATGCCGTGTGCGATCTCTGGTGTCTGAAAGTAGACGGTTTCTTGGCAGGGATTCTGCTCTTGAACTATGGCCCTCAGTAAGGAAGTCTTGGTGGAGCCTGGGGATCAGAGGGCCTCTTCTTCTCTGGATCTTTGGATATTTTCCCAACATCGCTGAGGGAAGTTGCCCAGGCAAAGGAGAGGGTAACTTTGGGGGAGGGGGTTCTTTGGTTTATAGAATTGTCCTTGAAGAGTGTCCAGGAGCCCAGACTGCTTGGGTCTTGCTGGACACATACCGGTGTGCCGACTCGCAGCCTCCTTTGGAGTGTTTAGACTTGAACGAAGCTGTGGATTCCATCTGCAGATTGTCACTAGTGGATCTGACAGCTGAAGAGACAGCCTTTCTAGTCCCTTCTCCAGCCAGGTGTCAGACTAAAGGAGATTTACATCCTTGAATGGGAGGCAAACTGCTTTTGCGGACGACAGCGCTTGAACTGGGGAAGACAAACGGCCCCGCTATGAACCCAAAGATGTGAAGACTCAAAGACCAGTGGGAAATGGAGAGTTCTGGAAGCCCTGACCAAGAGTCTGGAAGTAGGAGAGTGTAGGGGGCCAAAATGACAAAGAAAGGGGGCTTGAGTTGAACAGGTGACCTCTTGGGTGAAACCGCAAAAGAACAAGCTGAATTGGAGAAAGGAGGGCACTGTTAATTAGCTTTTCTGGGACTCTTCCCATGGTGGACTCTTCTAGGTGCTGATGGGTAAGTGTAGGCTGTGGGCTTCGTGGGCAGTTACTAGACTAATTCCATACCGACTTCATTCCCCAAACCTGCAGAGTAGAGACCTCCCAACCAAAGAAAGGAAACCGTTTGGAGGGAAAGCCATAGAGGTCTGGAACTGTCTTTTTTTGAGGGTCTAGCTCTGTAGCGCAGACTGTCCTAGAACTCATGGTCTTCCCATCCCAGGCACCCTAGTGCAGAGATTGGAGGTGTGCCCCACCATGTCCTGTGTTAGAACGGCTTTCCTGGCAGGCCTTTTAAACCTCAGCCTTGTTGCACAGACACTAGAAGTGTTAGGCGCCCCCTGGTGGCAATATGAGATACAACAGGAGTGGAATGTTCCCCTGTCTAGTGAACAGTTTTAAAAACTAAAAAGACTCCTATAAATACCTTAGTCCAACTAGGTGTGCGGACACACCTATAGTCTCAGCTCTCCAGGCCAGCCTTAGCTGCACAGAAAGAAATTATCTCAAGAAAGAAAAGAAATAATTTAGTTCAAACCTTGATTAAAAAAAAATAAAGAACCAAAGTTCTTTCTGTTACTAGACTGCCTAGCTTGTCTGCCACCCTAAGTATGAGTCCCAGCATCACAAAAACTAGCTGGGTGGTGGCGCACGCCTTTAATCCCAGCAGAGGCAGATGGATCTCTGTAAATTCAAGGCCAGCCTGCTCTACACCAGCTAGCTTTCTGCCGGGCGGGGATGGCAATCCCAGCACTCGGGAGGCAGAGGCAGGCGGATCTCTACGAGTTCGAGGCCAGCCTGGTCTACAAGAGCTAGTTCCAGGACAGGAACCAAAAGCTACAGAGAAAACCTGTCTTGAAAAACAAACAAACAAACAAACAAAAACTGTATGGCGATGGCCATCTGCAATCCCAGCACTGAGGAGGCGGAGGCAAGAGGAAGGTCTGGAGTTCAAAGTCATCTTCTGACACATAGCGAGTTGGAGAGCAGCCTAGGATGCCTAAAACCCTGTCTCAAAATAAGCATATGTATGTACCTACAAGTGGTGAGTTGGATAGTCAAAATTTCTTCAGTCAAACAAGCTTCAGAGCCAGGAAAACAAAAAAAAAAAATAGTAAAGGTGCATGTCACACACTATGATAATAAAAGACAAAAGATAGGATAGAATAAAAAATTATTTAAAATGCAGTCACACAGGAATCACATAGTGTCTGGGGCTGATCTTACTCAATGTTTGCGCTCTCTCGCTCTCTCTCTCTCTCTCTCTCTCTCTCTCATTAGTTGATTTTGTTTTTTACTTTTAGGTTTGGAGGCTTCAAATGTTTTCATTCTTTGAAAATGCCACCCATGATATGATGTTGTCCTTTTCATCCCCACTGCCCTCCCTCACCCCTTCCCATACACACCCAGCTTCCCTTCCCTTCAGCAACGCTCCCTTTAACGTCCACTTCTTTGATTGTTTGTCAGATTTGAGGGGGAATTCGCGACTCACGGAATTGAAATGAGTTTCTGGAATGAGTGTGGGTGGGAGGTTATATCAGTGGCTCCATCACGGAAGAAAATCGCCCTGCCTCCCCCAGCAAGACTAACTGCCAGTCCTTCCTCAGAGAGGGTGGGACCTCCCTCCTTAGCCCCTCCTCCCTCCACGGATGGAGTCTTTTCTATTATTGTGTTTACTTTTGATATTATAATTCAATTACAACATTTCTCCCTACCCTTCCGTCCCTCCACAGCCTCCCACATACTCTCTCCACTTTCCTTCAAATTCATGGTCTTTTTTTTTTTTTCATTCATTGTTACTGCTTGCATATGTGTATATGTGTATACATATATATTCCTAAGTAACCCTGTTCAGTTTGGATAATGTGACTTACGTGTGTGTCTTCAGGGCTGGCCATGTGGCACTGGGCAACCAACGGACGTGCTCTTCCCCAGAGAAGGCCACCTCTCTGGTCCCCAGCTTTCCTCACTTGCTGTTGAGATAAGAAGCGGCGGGGCTGCGTCCCCAACACCCCGGCCGCTTGGCTAGCTCATGCCCGAAATAACAACACACAAACTGTATTCATTTAACTGCTTGACCCATTTCTATCTAGCCTCTTCTAGGCTAACTCTCGCACCTGGACTAGCCCATTTCTAGGAATGTGTGTAGGCACCCCAAGGTGCGCTTACCGGGAAGATTCTAGCCTAAGTCCATCATGGGTTGGAGCTGCCTGGGAGAGCAGAGCTTGGCGGCTGTCCGGTCCCTCTTCCGCCCAGCATCCTATTCTGTTTACTCCTCCCATCTATGTTCTAACCTATCAGGGCCAGCCAAGCAGATTCTTTTATTGCTCAGCCAATGAAATCAACAGATTGATATGACACTCCCACATAACTTGCTAAGACTATTGAGGGGATCTCTCTTCCATCAGCCTGCATAACACCTTCTGGTACTAGAAAATGTAGCCAGTCCCAGCTCAGTTTCTCTATGTCCTGCCACCAAAGTATGTCATGTCTTCAGCAATAGGATCTAACCCTCTAGTTCTTGTGAGCAAACAAAGCAATAGCAACGGCCTATATTGTCTGGGGGACTCGAGACCTCCTTGAGGAACACAAAGTTCCCTTTATCTTCTCTACGCGTACTACCAAGTGTGTGTGAAGTCACACATTAGCTCTTCAGCCATTTGCTTACATATGATTCAAACGGAAACAACGCGGCCTCTGCATTCAGCCCATGCAGATTAGTTTGGAAGAGCGGTCAAGATCCTACATGATGAAAGCAGTTTGGAAACAGAAGGGGCTGCTCCAGCATAACTTGGTGGAATGAGACTGGAGCTAGAGCAAGTTCCTGGCCTACTGATTTACATTCCCATAGCCCTGCTTGTTTTGTGGGGCTTGTCTTTGGTCACTATGAGATGCCCTGCCTGTTCTTTCTTGAGTCGGACCCATCTCAGATTAATCCCCTTGACTTTATAGACCCTCCACTAGGGGTCCCCCTTCGGCTCTCACCTTGTGCAGACTCTGGTCTGACCTTGGCCTGGCTTTGGGTCTTGGTTGTACCTCCCTTCACCAAATACAGCGTTGTCAATAAGATAAATGGTAGAGATAGGTAGAAGGTAGAGAGAGAGCAAAAAGCATTTCTAATGTCAGGACCTGGCGGCCCCTTACAGAAGATGCTCGTCTCCTCCTGGTTTCCTCCCCCTCTCTGTTTTAATGTCTGAATTAAAATTCATTTATTGATTTATTTTATCTGTATGGGTGTTTCTCCTGCATGTATATCTATGCACTGCATGCATGCTTGGTGCTGGAGAAGGCTAACAGAGGGGTTCGGGTCCCCAAATCTGGAGTTCAAGAAAGTTGTGAGCTGTGATGTGGGGGTGCTGCCTGATCTTACTGTTAAAAGCCGATTTCTCCATTCTTATTTAACACGTGGAGCCCAGAGAGAAGCGAGATGCTAGCAGTTTCTTGGTATGGCAAGCGCTCGTTCTCACGGTGCAGCTCATGCCTTCGGCTCGCCCCACGGCTTCTCCAGCGTTCCCATTCCTCTCCTATCACAGTTGTGGCCACCTGAGTCTCACCCAGAGCTCTGATGTCCGCTCATCCCAAGCGCTTGGCCCAAACTCAGAAGCAATCTAAGGAAGTAGCTTTTGCTCCCGCCATTTTAGCCCGCCGTCTCACATTCACGTTCAAGGTCATTTCCAATGATTCCCAAGGTCTTGCGGGGTGTGTGGAAAATTTGTGGGGAGCATGTACAAAGTCCTCCAAAGGAGTGACAGTGGGGCCGAGTTTAAGGAAATGTTAGCTCCGAAAACACCCACCCCACCCACTCCCCCCAAGCCCTAAAGCTGATGCATCTTCTCGTCGGCTCTCTAGCGCTATCTTGTGTCTTCTTCCTAAACAGATGCCAAGAGACGGTTTTGTTTTTTAAAAGCATTTCTAAAGTTTTACAGACGCTGAGCGCGACCTCCACAGCTCTGAAGACGTCACTGCCACTGCAAGCCTGAAAATCAGTCCCCACCTACAAGATGGCACGATCTGAGGCAGAGACGCTGCCCAGTCACAGATAGCCCCTTCCACTCCTTCTCCCGAGGCTTTTCCTTCAGAGTTCAAGCCTCAGGAGGGCAGAAGGGGGCGCGGGTGGATTGAGGAAGGTGGGGTTTCCCTAACATCCTATGACGTCCGTCGCTAGCTGCTTTCAAGCGCAGCAGCCCCATGCCATTTCTGCCCAAATCTACCCGAGTCACCAGGGGCATCTAGACCGCTGAGGCTGCAAAGCTCACAGCCGCTCCAGCGCCACCCTGCTGGCAGTAGGACGGACTCGCAGAGGAAATGCTGGTCTTTGGGGAACCTCAGGTTCCCCGGTTCGCTAGTAAGGATACACAGCCTGAGCCAGCGCTGGCTCAGCTGAGGTTTGCAGAGGTGGGAAGGGTGACGAGAGGGGATTGGCGAGGGGGGGGGGGGGGGC